CTCTCTCTCTCTCTCTCTCTCTCTCTCTCTCTCTCTCTCTCTCTCTCTCTCTCTCTCTCTCTCTCTCACTGTCTCAGTGCTCTCTCACAATAAGAGCACTGAAACAATAGCCACAAGCCACCAGCTTCTTTACATAGGTTCCAGGAATTGAACTCAGTTATCAAGATTGCACAGTAAATGATTTTACATCCTGAACCATCTTGCCAGCCCCCACTGCCCATTTCTGAATTGCATTATATGTGGCTGGGATGGAACTCAGCGGCAGAGCACCTGTCTCATACAAACCTTATAGCACTTGTCTTTACATTGTTGAGCTTTTAAGAGTTTCTATAGTCCATGCACACCTTTAATCCTTGTATTCAGGAGGCAGAGGCAGGCACATCTCTATGAGTTCAAGGCCAGCCTGGTCTACATAGCAAGTTCCGTGCCAGCTACAGTCACATAGTGAGATCCTGTCTAAAGAAAGAAGTTTCTATTCTAGACACTGTTCCATATCCAAGAACTGACTGCAAATATCCTGGGCCCTTCTGTTGGCCGTTCTTTTCCCTTTCTTTCTCTGGTATACTGTGAAGCACAGAAAGTTTTTTGAAGTTTAATTTAACTATTGTTACTAGTACTATTTGTGTCATAGGTATCATTTAAGAAACCAGTGCCCATGGTAACACTTATTTCCTAGGTTTCCAAAAATTTAGCCGTGGCTCTTACATTTAGGTCTTTTGATACATTTTTAGTATGTTTGGGGTTTAAAGTAAGACAAAGACAACTTTCATACTAATCCATGTGACTATTTAATTGCCCAAGCACTATCTGTCAAGAGACTGCTCTTATATACTGTAAATGTCTAGCAATTTTGCTAAAACAAAACAAAACACAACACCCACTGGCAATAAATGTATAGGCTCCTGGTTCTATTCAATTGATCTATGATGCCATGCGATAATACTGTAGTAAGTTGTAAAATTAGGAAGTGTGAGTGATCTTTTTTCAAAACTATTTCAGATACTCAGGGTTCTTTGCATTGCCATAAGAATTTCCCTGACAGCTGATGTTGACAGCAATTATGCTGAGCTCATAGGTCATCTGGGAAGAAATGGCATCTCAACAAGCCTAAACACTATGAAAAGGGAAATGAGATGCATTTTCACTTACCTAGGTCCTAATGTCTTTCCATAGGTACTTCACGCACAAAAGACTAACTCAACTTTAAATTTAAGTGTCAATGTTTTATTCTTTTGATATCACCATATAGTCTTGGCTGGTCTGGAACTCACTGCATAGGCCAGGCTGGCTTTGAATTCATAGGTCCACCTGCCTCTGCCTTGAATGCTAGGATGACAAGAGTGCACCACCAGGCCCTGCAGAAACCTTTCATTTACTGTACACTGATCCACATCCTCACCATAAAGCCAGCACTTACCAAACCTCTCCTGCACCATGAGGGCCACCTGCTTCCCCACCTGAGTGCTGCCAGTGAAGGACAGCAGGTTCACACGCTCATCTCGGGCCATTGTTGTGCTGCAGGGAACAGAAAGGGTCACCCAAGCAAAACCACCTAGAAATCATGGCACCCAACAGTACTGGCAAGAAGCATACTATGGCCCTTAGCAAGACAGTCAAGGTTACATGGAAGTCTGTCCCACAAGCATGAGGTAATGAAACAAACTCTTCAAAAGCAGAACCACACAGAAAGCTGGCTGACCTGTTCTGGGAGCTGTGTGAGCCCTTTAGAAAAACCTCCTTAGTGCATGAAGAAAGTTCCTCCTGTACTGAGAAGGAACCAAGACAGTATGTCCCTAGCGCTGATGACACCAGGTGCCTTCAGGCTCATTATCTGCAATACAATTCCATTAAGGACAGCCAGACCTGGGGCTGGAGAGCTGGCTCAGCAGTTACAAGATCAGCTGCTCTTCCAGAGGACCCAGTTCAGTTCCCAGACCTCATGCAGTGGTTTACAACCATCTGCAACTCCAATTCCAGAGGACCGGACACTCTTCTGGTTTCTACAAGTACCAGGCATGCACGTGATACACATGCAGACAAAACACTCATACACGTAGAAATAAATATTTTACTTAGAAGAAAAGAACAAGCAGACTTGACGGCACAAGCCTGTAATCCCAGCTACTTGGGAGCCTGAGGTAGGAAAATCACACATTTAAGACCTGTGAATTCCAAGACACTAGGCACTTAGTAAGACACTGCCCCAAAATAAAAATCCTCAGTTTAACACTTCAGGAACCCAGATAAAGTGCATTGCTCTTGAGGTCAGGGAATATAGCTTGCTTCATAGCATTCGGAAGGTGTCATGGTCTAGACCTATAATTCTACAAGTTAAGCCGTGATGGCAGGAAGATCAAAAGTTCAAGTCATCTGCTACCCAGAATTTTCCAGAATCAATCCCTCCCTTCAACTTCATTTTCTTCCTGATAAAACTCTCCCCATTCCCCACAAAATACACAATTTTTTAAAAAAATTACAAGCTGTCTAGGGTTTCTAGTTGGTTCTAAGAAACGTAGCTCAGAGACTATGTATTTGATCTTCTGTGTTTGCATTTGTTTGTGCTTCCATTCAGGTAAGCAATGCAGGGCAGCCCCTAAACCAGAGCCTGCAGACTGGACAGCTTGATTTAATTACTCAGATAAAACCACAGTCATGAGTGTCTGCATGACAGGTGGCTGTGCTTAGCAAGGTCCTATGTATGCTGCTGAGCTGTGCCAAGGCCAACAGAAGGATGTCCGGAGTTCAAGAACAAGAGTAGGCCAAAGAATACAACACTCATGTTCAGTGACATTTAAAAACACTTCAGTGGGGACTATGGGGGTTGGAGAGTAGAGAGGAAAGAAGATAGGTTGTCTAATATTCTCATCTATAGGAACAAAGGCATAAGAACCTAACATCTCAGACCAGCATGGTGACAGACTTAACACCTAGGGAACCTAACTGGTCAAAGTCTAAGCTGGTAAAAAAAAAAACAACCCCATCCTTCATGATGATTCAGAGAAATTTTAGCCGGTTCCAGATGCAAGATGCTGTGATCGCATGCTAAATAAAAGAAGAGAGTCACAAAAGAACTCATATTATGTTTCCATTTATATAAAATGGCCCCAAAAGAAAATTTATAGACAAAAAGGATGTTAGTGATTGTCAGAAACTTGAGGAAGACAATGGAAAATGGGTGTGGATAGTATGAAGTTTCTTTCCAGCATGATCTAAACATCCTGGGATAAGATAGCAATGGCTGCATAACATGGAATGTTCTAGAACAGTGTTTCTCAGCCTTCCTAATGCTGTGACCCTTTAATACAGTTCCTCATGTTGTGGTGACCTCCTATCATAAAATTATTTTGTTGCTACTTCATAAATATAATTTTACTAATGTTATTAATCATATATAAATATCTGATATTCGGCATATCTGATATGTGACCACTGTGAAAGGGTTGTTCAACCCCAAAAGGGGTTTTGACATACAGGTTAAAAATAAATGTCCTAAAAGCTACTATGCAGGAGGGCACAACTCGGTGGGAGAATCCTTGCCTAAGTAGCCTATACAGTGCCCAGGCTTCCCGCGCAAGACCATAACAAAACCAACAAGAATCCACCAAGTGGTACAGTTTTAAAGGGAGGGTTTTATGATATATGAATCTTGTGGTAGTTAAAATGTTTTCTAGATACAGTCTCAAACTTGCTATGTAGCCGAAGATGGCCTTGAACTTTGATCTTTCTCCTTCCACCTCCAGGGTTCTGGGATTATAGGCATATGTCACCACACCAAGTACAGTCAGTGATAGAAACTGAACCCAGAATTTCATGTGTACAAGACCCTCTACCTCCTGGGCTACATCCCCAGCCCCATTGTATGGTCAGTGAAGGAACTGACAATAGACTAAGTTCTCAGGCATGGAGTGTGATGACACAGCTTTTCTTTATAGATCTCTGCATAAATCAAGTATCAGGACATTATTATCTGCCCAATTTAGTAGGTCAGAAACTAAAAATCAAGTATTCTTCAGGAAGCTTACGTACTAACAAGTGCCCTTCTACAGTATTAATGGCCACAGAAGATAGCCTTGCCTCCTTAGCTGCACTGGGTTTTGCTATTGTGGTAGAGGATTCCCACCCATCAACCCAGAGTCCTTCAACAAAAGGATGCTCTTCATCCATTCACCTACCCGATATCTGCTCCACCACAAGTCAGGGAACAAATGGCCCCAGGTAGCAGGTTGTCCTCCAAAACCCTGGCTATGATCCTATGGAGGGAACAGCAGATATGCTCAGCCAATCATCCACTCAGAACACTTTTATAAATGAAAGAGAAATCTCTACAAGACTTCCCTTTTCAACTGACTCTTCAAACACTCAGACCTGGGTTTTTCCTCACAGATTACAAATACGGTTTACAAACACTTACAAGCAGAAGTCTGTATTTAAATAGAGTGTTAAAGGAAAAAACGGTATAGAGCATGAACAGGAGATATAAAAGCATTGCTTGGGTGGTTAAAAAAGCATTTTCATCCACTATTTTCTGCCCAATGATGAAGACACATCAGTATCTGTCAGTATGACAGACTGGAGGCTGGGGCATACTCCTCACTGAAGTTCATGGATGAAGCCTTGCTTTTTCTTTTTGGCCCCTAACCATACATCCATTAAAACAGTAAAGAAATTAGAAAGGAATAAGTTGTGGAAAGATAAAGTAATTTAAAGAAACTCCACAAGCAAATAAGGTGTTTAAATATACCCTTTGCATCTGCTCACACATAGAAGCAGCAAAGAGAAGCAGGGTTGGTTAGCTCAGTTGACAGTATTTGCCTAGTGAAACCCTGGGTTCAATCTCCAGCACTGCATAAACCAGGTGTGGTAGTGCATGCCTGAAATGCTAGCGCTTTGGAAGTAGAGGGAGGAAGATCAGAACATCAAGGGAGTTCAAGGCTAACCTGGACCACAAGGGGCTCTGTTCTCCCACCTCCCTTCCCCTGAAAAACAAAAGTAATAATGGACAAAAGGAGAACCAGATGTGGTGACACACGCACTTTGCAGGCAGAGGCAGGGGGATGCAGAGTTTAAGGTCATATTCAGCTGTGTAAGGGATGTGAAGACAGTCTGGCTACAGGAGGATCTGTCTCAAAACACAAAACTAAAGCAAAAAGGGGTGGAGTGGGGAGAGGAAGAAGACTCTGAAGTTGAGGATGTTACCATGGAGGTGCCTTGGATGACAGGGCTTGATTTACATAACCTGGAAGTAGTTCAGGGCTTGTGTCTGCTGGCTTCAGTCAGAAAACAGCAGTATCCAACATGCCCAAAAGGCCTGTGCACATGAACACACCTTCTCCTTCAATTTAAGAGCTGCAGTTAAACGAGACCATGGTTACACACTACCTAACTCTGACTGTGAGCTGTGAAAAATGGATGAATTAGCCAGGTGTGGCACATGTACTAATCAGTTCTCTCTGTTTTGTTAGTGGTCTGTTCACTTGACGGATAATATCTCAGTGGTAGAGTCCTTACCTAGCATATATATATAGCATATACATTAATTCACTTGTTGGACAGTTATCAAATAAATACAGTCCCTAAAGTGCCAGGGTATTTTTTTTCTGCTGCAGATGTTTTTATTTTTCAAGTGATAAAATGTCTAGAAAAGTTCCACATGTCAATGGATGGCATCCTTCCAAGCAGGTAAATGAAATGACATGGCTCAGAAAGAGCCACATAAGTGGCAGTGATTACATTAAACTCTTACTACCAAAGGAGAAAGCTACCTGATCTCTATGGTGAAACAAACATAATACTTCCCCACCACTAAAAAAAACCTCAATGCCTGCCAGGCGGTGGTGGTTCATGCTTTTAATCCCAGCACTCGGGAGGTAGAGGCAGGTGGATCTCTGTGAGTTTGAGCCCAGACTGGTCTACAGAGCAAGTTCCAGAACAGTCAAGACATAGAGAAAAAAAAGCACGTGCATGCACACATACACACATACACCAGTGCCTGTCAATCATCCTAGCAAAAGAGGTCATACCAGGAAAAAGAAAGACACACATACTTACTTTGTGACAGCTACACTAACGAGGGAAGTTGTTGGCGCTCCTTTCCTAGAGACATTTAAGAGAGACAGAGAGAAAATTAACTTGAGGAGAGGCAAGTACCTGTCATTTCAAAGAAAAACAAAAAAGTTATAAAGAAAAGCTTCTAATTAGACAACAAATAACACTTGTAACTGAAATGAAAACCTATCCTTCAGGTGTTGTCTCAGGGACAAGGAAACTTCATGAACATAACAACCCTCCTCCAAATGATGCTGAGCGCAGCTGCTACAGGACCACAGCAACTGTTCCAATAACTGTTACTGAAGAAATGGCATCGTCAGCTCATAACTAACATACTGGGTTTCAGCACTGGATGATCGTTAATTAGGACTGTCAACCTGACTGGACTAAACACTGCCTTGGTCAGTGCTGAGACACACAGCACTGAAACTTCAAATGTGGTTAAAAAGGGGCCTCCAGAGATGATTAACTGAAGAAAAAGACCCACTCCAAAATGGGGAGCACCATGCCACGCCTGGACTCCTGGACTGAAGACAAGGACAAAAGGAGGTAGCCATATACACAACAGTGGTCTCCTTTCTCTACTTCCTGACAGAACAGATATGAACAAGCTGGTCCCACCACCATGTTGGCTCTGCCATGATGGACTATACACTCCCCACCCCCATCTGTGACCTAAAACACACCTTCCTCCCTTAAGCTGCTTATCAGGCAATTGGCCACTGCAATGAGAAAGCTCAGACACAATGCACAGGTTCCTTTGGCAAAATGGTACCCAGATCATTAACCCTTCAAACTCCACTTTGTTTTTTAGAGACTGAGAATATTCTATTATGGCATTACTTAATACTAATAAATTTGGCTAGGCACACTGCTGTGCTCCTGTAATCCCTGTGCACAGAGGGCTGAGACAGTAATATGGTCTGGGCTACAGAGTCAGGTCCTGTCTCAATTAGTCAGTCAGTTCCTGGAGATGATCGTCCACGCCTGTAATACCAGCCCTTAAAAGGTAGAGGCAAGAGTTCAGAGTCTTCCTTTAAAAAAGAAAGAAAGAAAGAAAGAAAGAAAGAAAGAAAGAAAGAAAGAAA